TTGAACACGAACGAGTCCCTCAGTATCCTGGCGTCCAGGGAGGGACCCAGCAGGAAGTCCAGCACGCCCTTCATCATCCAGCTGGCGTTGCTCTCCCCCGGGTGCACACGGGCTGCCGGGGGGGTGTTAAGGGGTTAAGGGGGTTAAGGGGGGACGGGAGGGGAGGTAAGACGAACCACACAACGGGAGGGGAAGAGAAGGAGCAACGGGGATTGGGGGTTGGGGTTGGAGGGAAGCAGATGATGCAAAAAGAAGAACACTACGACCGTCCCGGTCCATAATATCACCTGCCGACGGGAAGGGGGTGGGAAAATGGGGGGAAGGAAGGCAGGGAGAAGGGGAGGCAGGGAGGGAAGGAGCGAGGAGGGGAGGGGTGAGAAGATGTATTGTAGGCTATAGAGGAAGTGAAAGAGGGGGGAGAAAATGAATAAGAAAAATGTCCCGAAGTCTATGAGCTCCTCAGCCTCAGCCTCACCCTCGCACATACACACACACGCAGTCGTACACCCACCCGACACCACCACCCCCCTCCTCCGCTTGAGGGCCTCCGGGTCATCCGTTGGTGAGGTGATGGTCAGCACGTCTACCACATTTCCCGCCAGAGAGGTGGCCAGTGACTCCCTTCGCAGCTGGTGACGGCGGAGGGGGTCAACCTCCAAGGACTGGAGGATCAGCGGAAACCGTAAAGGGTGTCAAGCGGGCGGGAAGAAGAGGGAGGGAACGGAATGGAGACGGGAGGGGGGCATCGTTACATGCCAAGTCAAGAAAAGAGCGGAGACGGGTGGGAGCGGGGAAGGCGTGAGGGAATTGCATTACATGCAGAAGTCGAGCGAAACACACCGACGTCCAAAGCAATGACGCAACTTCGAGACACAACGCACGTCCACACACACGCACAGACACACGTTCACACACACGTGCACACACATACACACACACACACACACACAAGACACAAAAGTGCCTAAACCGCGCATTGTACCCCGGACATTGTTCCCCCACCGCCCCGACCTCCAAAAAACACATCACCCTAACTGGCTTACCCGGATGTAACGCTGCAGGTCGGTGTAGGTGTACGGATAGCAGTGCGCCACGTGTACCAGGTCGTTGTCGTACTGTGTGGTCAGGGTGAATGTGAGTGTGAAGTAGGTTTTCCCGGAGCGACCTCGCCGAATGGTGTTGGCGTAGTAGCAGATACGGGTGCCGGCACGGTGCCATCCCAAACCGCGACCCGCCTGAGCCTTGGCGCTGTGGACAAGAGGCTGTAGCAGCAGCAGCGGCAGTAGCAGCAGGTACGGCAGTAGCAGTAGCAGGGCCCCGGAGGGTAGAGTTGATGGTTTGGCGGTGTGAAGGGATTGGTAGCGCCAAGTCCACCACGGCCACGGAAAACCCAAACCGGGGTGGTGCTCGTGAGCCAAAGGGGCGGTGGAAAGGAGGGTGCCCCGGCGATGGGACACGTATGCGCCCGGTAGCGCACGCACGCTAACCCCTCGGAAATAGCAGCACGTGCAGATTGATTCGTGCAAATGGATTCGTGCAGAGCGCATTGCCGTACAAATTATACGGCACATTGAGGGGGCAATCATGAGGTTGATGACGCCTACATAACCTGATAACTAGGCAAGTGGCGCCGTACAAGTACGGAAGCCTGCCGTACAGCAACGCATACCTGCATTCCGTCGTTGTACAGCGAGTCTTCCTTGAGCAGGTTGATGATGTTGAACTTGTAGCGGCACCCGGCACGGGTGTTGGCGATCGAGAAGAAGAACCACTGCGTGTGGCCTCGCGTGTTGATATCTGGCCGCAGGATAAGGTCGTACTCGTACGGATAAACCTGAGGGAGCAATGAATATCGAGAGGGAACATCGCTTACATCACAAGAAAAAGTTACCGATGAGCGGTTAATTATCTGAGGTGATGGTCTCTATTGGTATATTAGTCTCTACTGCAGTGCACGGCCAGCTGGCCCGATGGCTCTACTCTTCGGGAGTCTGGAGCCCACTGTAACAACCACACACACACAAGAAAAAGCGCGCCACGTGAGTTCAGGTGTATCAACCCAACGTACTGTATCAATATCAACGTGTACAAAAACAACAACTCATAGTGTTTCATGGCACGCTGTGGTCAACACGCTCAGTATACGAAATCTGCTTTAAAGGTGTGTGATTAGCAGTCCTTTTGAAGTGTCGCTCGCAATTTGTTTTCTTTGTTTTAGCCAAGGTTTTTTTTTCTCGACATGTAGCAAAATTGAATCGCATATTTATGCACAGAAAGCGGTCCGGTCTTCCAGCTCCCAAAAAATCAAAAACCTGAGGGGATCGATCCCGCCGAGCGACGCGGTCTATGTCGTTTATGTGCGGTTCCCGCAGCCGCAGTTCCCGGTTCATAATATTTGAGTGACATAAAAAAATAGGTTATTGGCCAGCAGGCTGATGGCGGTTTCCGGCTCAACCTAGGAGGCCCGGACCCCGACCGAGCTCGGTGGAAATACTGCTTTAACGCTTTCGTGCTTTAGTCGCTCATGCATTATTCCCTGGCTAATCACATGAGAGCTTTATTAGTGCCTCTAGTTCGATTCCACTCGTGTCATATAATCAGCTAAGAACGCTCCATATGGCGTTCGCTTCCGTGTTCGGGTCGGTCTGGTCGGGGTTAAACGGGCACCTGCGGAGAACACCTTGCGCTTCATTATGTTGGCTGTAGCTCCGGAACCACACAGCTGGGCTTCCCACCTGTATCGCGCGACGAAGGTTGCCGCTCTCGTAGCGGCTCTCAAACACCAGCGTGTCGTCCGACTGCCCGCGCGGGGTGTACCATGCCGCCATGTCCTCAAAATAGTCGTACAATGTCGTACGCGTGTAGGAACATGAGGCTTGCCCGGCGGCACCCCGCGCCGCCGTATCACCGCCGTTTGCGCACGCTGCCTCGCCTGTGCTCCCGGCTGCGGCTGCGGCCTCCGCCGCGGCGGCGCCGCTGGGTGTCCCCGCCACATCTGCTTCCCCCGCTGAACCACGCGCCTGGCTCCCTTCCCCGCTCTGTCTCCCCCCCGCCACCGCCGGACTCCCTTCCGCGGCACCCCCTGCAGCCCCCGCCCCCGTCCCCGTCGCCCGGCTACCGCTGCCGCTGCTCCTGCCCCCGCCTTCACCGCTGGGGCCCCTGTTGGCTCCTGCGCCGCTTCCTCCTCCCCCCCCTGCCACTGCCGCCTCGCCCTCCGCACCCGCAGCCGCCAGAGCCGTACCAACGCCGCCGCCAGCAGCTCCGCCACCCTCCGCCGCCGCGACTGCCGGAGGCGCAATGGTTTCGGAGCTTTGTGGCGGCCGCTCTATACAGTCATACACCACCACGTTGGCGACTTGGCTGGGGTTGACGAGGCGGCGCTGGTCGTGCATTCTAAGGACCTGCGGCAGCATTGGATCCACCGGCACCAGCGGCTCCGGAAAAGGCGGCGGGATGCAACTGCATGGGGGTAGCCTTGCTGGCCTGCACTCGGCAGCCGGCGACAAAGGGATGGGGCCAGGGGTAGGGATGGTGCGGGCGGGGTGAGGGGGTTAGGGACCTTAGGAAGACCGGGGTTACGGAGTTATAGTATCAGCGGATGGGGAAGGCAGCTGTGGGGCAACGTACCTTGGGCGAATGTCGTCACGCAACGCTTCAACACCATAGATGCCGTCCTTCTTGGGCCCGATGGGAGCCAAGCCCCCACAACACCCGGTCGCGCTACTATACGCATCCCCCCGAACCCCGCGCGCCGTACCTTAGCCGCATGCCCGTACCCGACCTCGGCGGCAGGTTGGGGATGTCGCCCTCCGGGTGCACCAACATGCCCGGGACGTGCCAGGCGCCGAAGTCGAAGGGCGCATCAGCCGCATCATGCTGTCGCTTGCGATAGGTTTGCACTGCGGGGCGGCGAAGGAGGGGAAAAAGATGGTGGTGCTGATTAGAGCAGGGGCGCAGGCAAGCTAGTGAGGTGAAAGGCCCGCTGGCTTGCTGGCTCCTCGCCCTTCCCTGCCGCGAACTCTTTTCCCCTTCTCTCCTCTCCTGTCAAGACTGACCCGCGCGATACCAGCCCACATTCTCTTCTCACCCCCCGAAACCTCCGATCCCTAGCCCCCAGGCGTCCTCCCCCCTTCCCCCGTGCTGCAGCACTCTTTTCTTGGCAGCAGCTTCACTCGCTCGTGGTTCGTCTTTTTCCCCCTCCCCAAGCTGCTGGCCCCAAAGCAAAAAGCAGCTCCTCAGTTGTCGTCACGCGTTGGCAACATCGCCCTTTTCAGTTGGACGTGTGGTCCTCAGGCGCCACGCACCCGTGCGTCTGGTCGGCTCTTGCTGCTGAGGATGTTGAGTCAGCGGTGACGGTGTCCGTACAGGCTCCAGCGGCAGTGATGTGGAGGAACGTGCGGCATCCAGCGGCGCGCGGGTGATGTCCAGGGAGGGCTGCGGCCGGGGAGGCAGCTGCGACGGCGGCGGCACCGGCGGCAGGGGCTGCAGCGGCGCCGCATCGGGCTTTCGGGGCAGCGGCGCCAAATGACCGTAAGGCGGGCTGGTGCGGGAATATGGAGGTGCAACGGCGAGGTTAGCCGGACATCGGGATACATCGGGAGCTCTTTACAGTTGGCGGGTACGTGTCTAAACAGGCCCTATTACCGCTACGGCGGAGGCTGGGTTTACTGGGTTTACTGGGTTTACTGGGGTACGTGGGTTTTGCAGTTCCCCCACTAGCAAAGAACGTGACGCAGGTTCCACGGGACAAGGGCAGCAAGCGTGCAGGCACTTGCCAGGTGCTTTCCATGGTACGCTGTACTATGTGGTAACAGTAAGGTAGGGCGTGCTTTGCACGAACCCAACCGAGCCGGCCGCGCGTGCGGCTGGTCATCCCCGCCAAGCCCGCCGAGCAGGTTTCCACAAGGCCCACCCAGGCCACAGTGCGCTCCCCGCACTGCTCGGTGTTCCGTGTTGACCACCTCCATCGCCGTTTTCTGTCTCCCCAACGTGGACTTGGTAGAGTTATGGCTAAGTGTACGTCGTAGGAATTATGTACGGCTAGCATGGGATACGGCGCGAAAGGGAAGGCGCTCACTTTATTGAGGACTGGCTGAAGTAGGGAACGCCCAGAGGCATTGGTGGCGGTGGCAACGCAGAAAGCATGCTGTGCCGTCCTGCAGGCATACAGTGCAAGCTTTGTGGGACAGTAATGTGCAGGAGTTCTCGTGTATGCACAAATTCTCAAACATGCGCTTGTGATCCAACAACATGATATCCAATAACATGATAACAATGAGACTATGGATGATGTGTGATGCAAGTTATGCACCCACCTCCATCGGCCATGTCCTTGCTGGAGGTCCTCCCCCCCTCCATTGTTGAGATTAATTTAATTTATTAAGAGAATGTCGTAGGCATGCTACTAATTGTATGTGCTGTCTTCCCGAACCGAAGGATTCCATCCAGGAAAGCGCTTTTCAAAGGCTAGTTGTATGCACGGCTGAGCGGCTTTCCTTCCAAACATAACAGTAAGACACATGAATTCCTCCGTTACATACCCTAACAATTAAAGTGCATAAAAGGCGCTGTAGGTGCGCGCCTGCCAATTTTTGGTCACTTCTAAGAGGCAAATTGAATAGTTCTCCACATCGGACAATAGAGGATATCTATGCTTAACCGTCTTACCTGGGGCCCAAGGGTTCAACGCTTAATACTCACAAACGCCGTACTCCGTTCGACAGTTACTCAAGGAGCTCTGGTTACAAAGTCCGCGCGATACATCGCGCAAGCGGCTCGCAGTGTTGAAACGTTAAGCTTAGAGATGAATCTTTTAAAGATTTAATCTCCATCCAATCCAGTGTTTGGCCTCCGCTGGGCACTGCAATGAGCTGGAAAGTTAAGAGACCTTGTCCTGCCCTCAAAATGTAACAGGTAGCATACAAATGGAGGCCTGGGTGAGTATTAAAGCCCCTGATCAGCATGGGTTGTGCACACATTAAAAAGCCAGTTTATCACCATGAGGTCATTACTTGAGTGCGCGACATGGCTCTGCAGGCTGAGGCTAACGATACCGTTCGATTTCACTCACCACCCGCTTGAATGCACCTCACCAGTCGCTGAATGGCTTCGGTTATCTCAACAGCAAGTCCAGGGACTCCATTGTGCAATGCAGTGTGCCGCTAATTAAGCTCAAGCCCCAAGTACAGCAGGTTCGAACAGAATCATCACACTTCAGCAGGAAATGTACCTTCCTTGAACCTTACGGCGCACGCCTGGACGTTCAGGTGAGGCGTGCTGTGGTTTTGTCAGCATGCAGTTCACGCATACCCGGAACCCAGAATACGATCCTGAAAGCTTGTTTGGACGGCATTAAGTGTAAATAGTGTCATCCCGCTACATGGGTAAACGCTTTCGCTCGATTCCTGGCTTCCGCAACAGGGAAGCAGAAACAAACCGACAGTCCACTCGTTGACCTATACGACCTATTAATTAAACGTACTTCACGCGTTGCACAATATAAATTAATGGCGGTGCCTAAAGTATGCAGGCTTTCACCTTGTTCCATGTGCGCTCAGGGCAGGTTACGTGTAGGAAAAATACTATCAAACATGAGAATATCTGGTCGCATAACACAACATTTGCCAGGGCTTACTTTTGTCCGCAATTATGCCGTCGCAACAACGACCTGAAGGCCGTCGACAGCCGCAGCAGAGACGTCATCCCGGATTCATCACAACTATGTGATCGTGAGTGGGCATCCAAGATAACTACGAATCGAGCTGTCGATAGTCCGACCTGCTCTCTCCTCGACCTTAAGTCGGCTGTCTCGCAAACGGACACGGATGGCACCCTTACAGCACACAAGGCACAGCGGGCAAGTACATGGGTCCATGAAAACGTGAGGCGCGCTGCGCCAGCCCGCACCGGATACGGGAAAACCGGTAAGCGTGTCTGCCAAACAGGACCCCCTCCAAAAGACCCCACCTCGCAGCATCGTGTCACGCACACTATCCGCGCTCTAATCCTGCTGTGCGCTGCAACCCTTACCCAACTGCCTTGCGCCGCAATGATTGTCCATCCTCCGCATGCCCTGCAGCACGGCTGGGAGCTGGCGGGCGTCTCTGGACCTCTCTGCACGTGAAGCTGCAGCAAAGCCTAACATCAAGCAATCTGCTGGGAGCTGCAGAGTCGGTGCTCGTCGCCGTTTCCGGCGGTCAGGTGGGTCGCTAGTCAGCAGTCCCCAACCCTGACCCCCGCTGGGGCTGCCATTCCCCCGGACAGCGCTCCTGGTGCCCTGCCATGAACATCCCTCCATCTAGGTATCGTTGCACCACCCTACGTACCAGCTTTTTGCCAGGCTCCTTCTCCCTCACCACTATAACAGTAAAGGCACATGCATACATTACAATGGCGCCCCTCATATCCCTGAACACATGGCCCTCTCCAAACCCTACCTGATGCTAGCTCTAACTCAGATCAGCCAAGCCAGTACTCGTTCTCCGACCCCATGCATCCCTCCGGTGTCGCGCCTTCCGTCACGCCTCGCAGGACTCGGTGTGCCTGCTCCATGCTCTCGTGGACCTGCGGCCGATTTGGGGCTGGCGCCTGGGTGTTGTCCACTGCGATCATGGCTGGCGTGTTGACTCAGCTGTGAATGCGGACTTCGTGCGGGAGCTGGCGGCTCAGCACCTTGACCTCCCTTGTTACGTGCGGGCTGCACCGCAGGGCGCTGTGCCCAGTGAGCGCGCCGCGCGGGAATGGCGCTACCGGGTTTTTGCAGACGTAGCTTTCGCGCATGGCTATGACGTGGTGGTGACCGGGCACACGGCAACCGACAGGTAGGTGGGCGGCAGGTCGGGGTGGCTAGGTGGGCCCGCAGGCCTGTAGGTCGTGTGCTGGCTGATGTCGCCATGGAAAGCGGCATCCGCGGTTATTTGGATGGCGAGACGCACCGTTGGGGGCTGTGTGGACGCACTTGGCACCCCTACTTGGCCGAGTGACTTGCTTTCCAGTAGGATCTGAGTAGAGACACTGGTGTTAGCTGCGCTATGTAATACTACTGGACATGCTGCGTTGCGTAGGTCCATGGTTTCTGGCGGTGGATTGCTCGCCTCCCTTACGTCTGCGTCAGCTACCGGCCATTAAGCGCTTGTCCTTGCTTTTTCCATTTTTTCCCCTCGTTGTTCCCCCACGTGATCCTACTCACATGGCGCCAGGGCAGAGACGATGCTGCTGAACCTGCTGCGTGGCTCCGGGCCAGACGGCCTTGTGGCCTTGGCACGGAGCCGACCCCTGGGGAGCTACTCGCCTGCTGACCCAACCTGCGCGCCCGGAGGGGAGCTGTCCGACATCGCTAGCTTGAACGGCTCCACACTCAACCCCCACCACGATGGCAAACACAGCGATATCCCCCGCGCACGCTCTCGCTCCGTGCGCCTCGTGCGCCCGCTGCTGGAATTCTCACGCAGCCAGACGCAAGAATTCGTAGAGCAGCTGGCTCTGCCGTACTTCCACGACACAACCAACGACTGCAACGACCTGCGCCGCAACCGCCTACGAAACGAGGTGCTGCCGGCGCTCCGCGCGGGTTTTAATCCCCGCCTTGATCAAGCGCTATTCCGCTTCTTGGAGGTGCTGGACGCCGACCTGGAGTATCTCACCCGCGTCACGGAGGATTTATATGACAACGTAGTGTCGTACGAATACCGCGCATCTAGTGGCGATCATAGCAGCGTTCCTGCCCAAGGCAGTAGCGACGAGAGTGGGCGTATATGCGGAGGCGGCGGCTCCGGAACCGCGACCCAACAGGGAATCAGCGATAGCGGCAGCGGAGGGATGCTAAAGCTTCACGAGCTGCGGCGTCTGCCGTTGGCCATGCAACGCCGGGTGGTTCGCAAGTGGCTGGAGAGCGCGATGGACGCGAGGGCTCGGCGCGGCCACAGGGGATGCAGCGAGGATGGCAGCCAAGGCGGGGGCGAGGGCAGGGCCGGGGCCCGGGCTGGCAATGCACCCAGCCGGGTGCGCTATGAAGATGTGGCGCGGTGCTTGGCACTGCTTCACGCGCCCAACCGATCCAACAGTGATTCCCTGTGCGGCGGAATGGTGGCATCCGTGCGGGATGGCCATCTAGTGTTGTGGACTCCGAAGGCCGCGGCTGTGGAGCCAGGGTGGAGCTCGTCGCAGCAGCAACGCCGGCAGCGGCGGGCCGGAGCTGCGGCAGACCCGGAACTTGCATGCTGCACAGCAGAGGTATCCACTGCAGGCCAGGGCGCGTGAATGGCGTGCCTTCATCCATAGCTGCTAGGTAGGCTGGGGGCGAAGTATTTTACACGGCGAACGTGGTAGCGTCCGGGAGGGCTGGAATGGTGCCGGTGGCAGCTAAGGGATAGTGAATGTAGCTTGCTGGCGAGCGAGCGATGGGGAAAGGCATCATGTGCTCCACGCACCGGCGCTCATGTGGGTCAGCGCGACGTCCAAGATTGAGATATGCAATAGTGAAGAAGCTGTAGAGGGACGGGAGGATAGCGCCTTTTGCAATACACAGGGTGCCGGCTGGTACGGCAGTAAGTAATGTTGCTGGATGTCGTCATTTCGTATTCATGGCTGGATGAGGCCTTAGGCAATAGGACGTGAACAATGGCGCACGTATGAGTCGAACATGTATTTGAAGGCCTAGCTCTGGTACGTAAGGCCTTGGTTATGGGCAACACGACATGCAGGGTTCCTTGGCGATATCTTCGGAGGCCCATGTTGGTCTGGGTCTGTACTGGCGGAGATGGAATCGTTGTGAACCGGCTCGTGGCCTGTTCATCTGTTAAGATTTGCGGCAGTTGGGTCATGCAAAAGCTCTACCCACCAAGTGTGGTTTGCCAAAGGATTCCGCAACTACCGATCGTAAATGTTTGTCGTTAAGCTTCGACTTTTCGAAGCGAAGTATGAGTGTAGAGATAGGCAAGTTATTGCGAAGGAACTGCCGTGGTGCGTGGAAGTAGGGCGCATGCATGCATGCATGTGCCGGACTACAGTACGGCAGGGGACGCCGAGCTCCTACTTGGGTCCCACAGGCGCATTGGTTCTTTAACTGCCGTTGTTTTGACTATTACCAAGAGGTGTGTCCCGCTGCTCCGTTTGTGCGGTTTGGAATACCCGTATCGGTGCGTTCTCTCGTCAATTTTCTGTGCCTCGTCGTTCCCCCCACCCACCCAGGGCAACCCCGGGGGTTGCCACAATGCAGCGGTCCCTGGTTTGTCCTTGCTGGTTTCGGGTGGGTCGCCCGCGTGACTCTTGTCGGGGCGCTTGAGGTTGCACATTCGTTAACGGTGCAACACAGGTAATTGTCATTACTATCGGCCACTAGTGCAACTTTCACAATGGGTTGGTGTTGGGAGGGGGTTTCGCAACGGGTTGTTTTGCTACGGAGTTGTGCTTGCGGTTGGCGGCTTAGCTACTGTAACGCACCACGGCAGGACTGAGCAATAATGCCATCTAACTCCATAAACGAAGGTAAACAATTTCAGATCCCACGGCGAGAAGCATGGACGAACCCGGAATTTCGGGTGGTAGATATTAGCCAGTTGGTATATCACCCGAGTCAAAACCCCGTAGTGGCGCATGTACTAAACTCTGTTGAATCACCTGGTTGCCAATTCTGTGCCGGACGGCGAGATGCAAAAGGAGACATGGAGAAAACGCAAATATGTGAAGTGGGGCTGCAGACTTTGCATGAAAAGGAAGAACAAGTGTCGTCGGATGCCGAAGGATGCCTTGCGGAAGCTCACGAAATGTGTAGGCCTCTACCAAGCTGGTTGGGATTGATCATGCGCCCTCAAACATGGCTGAGCTTTTTCAGTTACTTGACCTGAAGCGCATTGGACCATCGCGTCCTTTAAAGGAATTATTGAAACATGTACGACATTAACCGAGGTGCTCTTGGCAAGCACCACACACGCATACACAGCTATCTCCATTGATAGAACAATACAACATATCGTGACCTTTTAAAGCGACCAGGTCCAACTTGTCACCTTCGAAGGAGCCGAACAAAACTGGAGAAGTAATTTTAACACGAATATTTTTCCCTATGATACACCTGAAATCAGGCATGCACTCTTAAACAGTACTGACAGCTATGCCTAACATCTGACATTTCAGTGCTGGCCGCCGCGCGGCCATCCTTGAAGGACCAATCTGCTCCGATATAACATCGCTTCACCATGAAGAAGCTCTTCGGAGTTGGTCCGGACCTGCTGGGCGATGGCAAGGTCCTCTTCGAGTGGAGTCCTAAAGGTTCCTTCCTTGCTGCAGCAGGCAGTAAGGTTAGTACTGTGGAAGCCTCATGGAAAATAAATTTGGTGGTGGAAAAACAGATCACATTATGTACCTGGGGGTGCAGAGGAAGGTCAACATCCTTGATAGGAATGGACGGCTCTACGACGAAGTCCATTTCCCTCCCGCGGAATACGCCAACCCAGACGGGAGAGGCTGTGGATGTGCTCAGCTACAGGTATCGAATGTTGTAACACCTGCCCACTGCTGGCGTGTGCACTTGTAGCGAACCACCCGTGACCCCCTTGCAGTGGGACCCAACGGGGGATCAACTTGCAATCCTTCCCGCTGGTAATACACATGTCTTCATCTGGTCAGCTATCAGCAAAGAGGTCCAGAAAATTGACTCGGAGTTCAAGGTACGTGATGTGGCCCAATACACTCGTGGCACCCTAACTGACCCCCACCCGCCCACCAAGCCGACTAAGTCTTCTACCCAAAACGTTGCAAGCTAGCCTAAATACCAAACGTTATTCTTTTACAAAATGGACGGCTATTTTCCAAGTCATTGTGATCTGCATGGCGTTCTTTGGCAAGTGCAAGTGGGGCTGGAGGGGAAATGCGGCAGTTAGCGCAAGGGTGTGTACTCAACCGCTGTGCTGCAATACGTACCATGCACACTTTCTCCAGACGCAAGAATTCTCCGCTATGGCGTGGTCGCGGAACGGCATGTATCTGGCGGTGTCGACTGTCAAAGGGAACCTGATGATGTATAACGCCCGAGAGCGCAAGAAGACGCCGCTAGTGGGCAAGCACACGAAAAAGATCGTGGCGGCGGCATGGAACAAGGATAATGTTCTGGCGATGGCTGCCCAAGACAAGACCGTGACGTTGACGGACGGTGTGACGGGTGACACGATAAAGACTTTTCACCTGAAGGACCTCCCCATGGACCTCTGTGTCTCAGACAAGAAGGAGGACGGCTACTCACGTCGGGAGGTGCGTCTCGGGGTAACTCTCCGTTTGCCGGCAGTGAACCCGAGGCGAACGCGCTGGAATGCCGCGTCTTGATTATATGGAGCGTGTCTGAATGGCTCTGCGGTGGGCTTATGCCATACACGCGGTAGATAAGGGCAGGTTTGTTCATGAAATTTCAGGTCCAGATCACTTTTGCAGCCTTAGTGCGGACCGCCCAAGCAAGGCTTTGAGTGATCCCTTGACCTCCTGGGGCTGTCCGCATTCCTGACCGCAGGAGAACACGTACTCGCTCAACATTAATCGGAAGACGCTGTACATCATGCAGGTAAGCGCAGCCGTTGCGGCTGCTGACAGAAGCAATCAGCTGTTCACATGTAAACCCACAGAACAGTTGTAGCCATGCAGGTGGCTGTCCTGGGTAATGATGTTAGAGGGCGCGGCGAAAGGGGTTGAGAGGAGCAGTTTAAGGGCGGGGAGCATGGTCATTGTGGCACTGTATTGTGGCTGCTAAGACGCCGCACGCACCATGACGCCCCTTCCACTGGGGGCTCGGCCGATGCCTTAAGGCAAAATGCTTACAGGGTTCTGGTCCCGTTACTAAACAGAAAATGACACGACGAGTTGTGCGTAAACACCACTTTGGGAGAGACGATGGCGCCCTTCAGTACCACAAGCATCCACGTCTACAAACTCTAATGACTGACATGCCCCGCATCGCATGATACCCCACCCTTCTGCTTCAGTGCGCTGCGGAGGGCGATCGACCCATTGAGTTGGCGTTCTTGGATACTTACGGGCCGATTATGAAGCACGCATGGTTTGGGGACGGCTACATCCTGCTTGGCTTCAAGAATGGCTACGTGGTGGTCGTGTCGTCTCACAGCAGGGAGATCAGTGAGGAGGTGCACTCGGGGAAGTGAGTTATATGGCCGCGGTGTGGCGGTGGCCGCGTCCGCTGTGCCATGTGCGCGTCCTCTGCACGGACTGGCATTTAACTGCAATCTTCCCGCAAGTGGCCTGGGGAGGTGGTTACCATCGCCGTCATTCGGTAACGCGCTGGGGGTCCAAGCTGACCTGGGGCGGTTGAGGCAACGTACCGGACTCTCGAACTGATTCCCGCACCTTCCTACTTGCCCCTCCCCCGACAGGTATCTGGACACACTGTCTGATGTGTGCCACTCGCCTGCGCTGGGCCGCATAGCCGTGGCTGGCGCCAACTGTGTGCGCATTTTGGATAGCTCAGGTCAGGACTATAACGAGATTAAAAGCGACGCGGTAGACCTCGACGCGAACCAGACGGTGGAGAAGGTTGGGTGGACGCGGGATGGCCAGGTAAGGAGGCGAGAGGGTTGTGTAGGGCAGTGGGCTGGAGGGGACCAAGCGACGCAACGAGGGCAAACTTGCTTCCTCTATTTGTTGGCCAGGGGGCCGCAGTGGGTCGTGTTGGGACCAAGAGCTTAGTCCCTGGGGCTAACGTACCTCGTCCTTTAGCTGTCCAGCAGCTGGGGATGTGCCCGCCTAAATTGCCATGCCCGCCTAACTGCTGTACTCGTTAGATGCTTGCACGTGTGGTGGGTGCAGCAACTCATATTACCCTGCGCTACTTGGCAACCGTCGTGTCGTTCCCAGGTGTTGACTGTGGGCACGCACAACGGCTACCTGCACACCTTCCTCGCCTCTCTGCCGATGGTCTACGACTACCACGGCGCGCGTGTCCTGTACCTGACCAGCCTGCTGGAGATGACGGTGCTGGACGTGACCAAGCGCCAGACGGTGGCGCGGATCGAACTGGAGACAGAGCCGGCATTTTGCGGGCTCGGGCCGCAGCACGCCGCCATGGGCATGAACAACCAGGTGCGTGTGGGGGCGTGACCCCCCTTGGGCATCAAAAGCGACGGCGCATTGCCTGCTGTGAGCGTTCGTCTCTGGCTCCCTTCCATCTGTCGCTAATTGACACCGGATGCGTGCATGGGTGTGCGCTGCTTACATTGTGCATCTGGCGCTCGGATTAGGTGGCCTTTTACAACGTGGAGGGCAAAGCGGGCAAGGTAGTGCAGCGGCGCGATTACCTGGGCACCATCTCCGCCATCAAGCTAAACGAGACGCAGGCGGCAGTGCTGACGGGGGGGCACGTGGTAGTGCACCCCATCGTGGTGGAGTCGGGCCGCGCTCCCGACGAGCACGACGTCGTCATCCCCGGACCCGGCCAGCCTGCCAACATCACGTGTGTTGCGCTCACACCAACGTTTGTGATCACGGGAAGTCGGACAGGCACGCTGTCCTACTACCTCAGCCCTGACGTGACGCCCGTGAACGAATACCGCCACGACGACGGGTGAGGCTGCCGTGGGGCCAGGTGATTGTGGAGTTTCGGTTGGTGGCTATCTTGAGGCCACACATGGCGTCGAGTTCCATGCCTGTATCTGTGAATCAGGGTGCAATCTTGAGCAGGCAGATTTTACTACTTGAACCTAGCGGCCCGGCGCCGCAGAGCATACTAGCAGGAAGCCCATGGTGCCGATTTACCAGATTCCTAGAGGTATTTGAGTGTTGGGGATGTGGCTTGGGGTGACGGTGGGCACGCCCCAGTTGACGTAGTGGAATATGCCTCGATAAAGGCTTTTATGCCGTTCTTTACCCTTGCATTCATCCCACATGATTCATCTTGGATTTCCAGTCTCGCCGTCCAATCCATCCAGTATTACCTTTTCATTCCCTGTCTGGACCCAGCAGCGGCATTACGAGGCTCTTCCCGCAGGCGACTGGCGCGCGGCTCGTGTTCGAGGACGACAAGGGTTGCCTGCATCTGTTCAACCCCGTAAATGACCACGTTGTGCCCATCCCGAACTTCTCGGGCCGAGCCGACGTAGTCATGTGGGACACCTCCGATATAAATGTGCTCGTCATCGCGGACGGCTCGGCCCTCCACACCTACCTGTACATACCCGTCAGGTGGGTACTGCCGCACCGGTATTCTGCAGCTTTTCCCGCTCAGATGTGTTCTCTCCAAGACGCACATCTGTAGGCAAACGCTAACATGCTTTCAGTTTCATGGATTTTTCCTGGAATCGATTCGCGTGTAAGATCTGCTTGGCACCTAACCCCCTCGTAGGCGAAGGGATATGGCAAGTTCCTAAAACCCTAAAACCCTAAGTTCCTCACGCATGCTGCACACCCGCTCTGCGTGTTTCTCCCGTGCTTTTCGGTTTGTTGCAGCCTGAACGGCCCGCAGGTGCAGTTCATCGGCAAGCAGCCGCTCGGGGCCACCCACACGCCATTGACTGTGTGCAACGGTGTGGTGGGTTGCCGCCTCAAGAACGGTGCAATGGACAATGTGATCCTGGAGAGCCACAAGCTCCTACAGCCTGGGGACGCAGTGGCAAGGGCGGCACCTGCCAAGAAGTGAGAGCCTGGGCGGGTCGCGGTAGGGAGGCATGACTGCTGAGGTCGAGGACTGGGCTGGATCTGGCCGGGCTGGGCAGGGACGCATGTGAGGTGGTGTAGACATCCTCTCCCCCGTACCGTGGAGGTTTAAGCTTTGGCTGCGTCAAGTGCACACCTATGGCCGCTATGCTGAGGTCTTGCTTTAACACAGAGCTGCAGCAGTAACCCCGAAATGTCTTCCTGCTACCTGCAAATGCCCAGGTTCGCACAGGCGTTGAAGCTTTACAAGATGCGCGAGGCGGTGGAGTGCGCCACGCAGCTGCGGCAGACGGAGACGTGGCGCAACCTGGCGCTGGCGGCGTTGGACGTCCTGGACGTGGATGTGGCTATCAATGCGTACCGCCAGGTACCAGCACTAGGCCTGTGTGGGGCTTGGTCCTGCCATATTGCTGCCTTGCATATTTATGTTGTGTGTAAATGCTGAGATGGTAATGGAGACTGGGGTAAGTTGGCAACGCTGTAACAGCCAACGCTTCTTCGGATAGGAGAGCTGAACGGGCCCCCACCGTTATGGCATCTCGCTATTGGGGAATGGCTAGCGAACTGGGGAGTTGCTTAACTGCTGCTGGAAACTGCATAGCCTTCCATGTCTGCCGTGTGCGAGACGGAACGCAAATGTCGGCTACGCATCTTCCTTGTGAGTGTTCCGACACTCTGCCTCTGCATTCACTTCCCTTGCGACTTACCAGATTGGCGATGCCAGCATGGTACTGTCCTTGGAACGCGTACGGCAGCATGAGGATCGCAACTTGCTGTCGGCCCATATTATGGTGCTGCTGGAGAAGGACTACAACCAGGCGCAGGTGGGTGAATAGGGATGGGAAAAGCATGAGTGGATGGTGCATAGGACGAAACAGTACAATCAGTTGTCCTGCCCAGCCGACGCGCGGCGTTTCTCACTGTCCTCACTAGGAGTAACCGCCCAGCGTACCGCCAACGGCGCTTGCGTTGCTATGCTTTACCTACCCATCCGCCAAGCTGTAACGTCCGCCAAGCTTTTGCATTGTGCTGGTTGCAAGATACGCATCAGAGCTGCGGCTGATGGGACACGTTGTTGGGCTTCCCGGGGGTTATAACGGGTGCAGGAGCTGTTCCAGCGCTCCTCAGTTCCCCGAGCGGCGCTGGAGATGCGCATGGACCTGAAGCACTGGTCTGAGGCGCTCAAGCTGGCTGAGACGCTAGACCCAGAGGCTATCGGCACCATCTGCAAGGAGCACGGCGCCATGCTGGAGATGACCGGTGCGCTAGGGATCATTCCTTCATCTCCGGCTCAAAGAATGATAGCCTTTTCCATGCTGTGCCTCTGCAGGCAGCTTCTAGGTGTGCTAACCTATTGATGCTGCTTGAATAATCAAGAACAGACTGTGATGATAACCCTGTACGCTTGCCACGGATAAGGTCGCCATGACACGTGCGTGCGATACAGTGATTTGCTTCGAGCTTGATCCATATGGCCATCCCAACACGTTGCATGTTTCCCTCCTGCCCTGGTAGGCGAGTACGCCAACGCGAAGTCGCACTACCAGCAGGCATTGGACGCGCTGATGGTGTCGGCCGGCCCGCCGCAGCCAGAGCTGGAGGTTGCTTGCAAAGCGGGCATTGCACGCACCACGCTGCAGCTGGGCGACCTGCGGCAGGGCCGCCAGCTGGCGCTGCAAATCAACTCCACGGTGTTGTTCAAGGAGTGTGCGCTCATCCTGGAAGGGCTGCAGCAGCTCACGGTGGGGAGCCCGGGGCGCGAGGGACATGTGGACAGTGGGCAGTGCGGTGTGGGTTGGGTTGGAGTGGGGCCTAAAGGGGCGGTGTTGAGGGGGCGACTGGCCAGGACGAGCCCCCGACATTGGCTGTCCTCAGCCAGGCACTTACGCGGAGTGGTTGGTGTCATTGGAGTCAAGTCATGGGAGTCATTGGCGTCATTGGAGGTCTATGCATAACTGGCAAGAGCATGGTTAGTTAATTCCGTTCCCAAACGCACGTGCAATCTGCCCTCAAACCCCGTCGCCTTCCACTTTTTTCCCATGGACAGGAGGCGGCTGAGATGTACGAGCGGGCAGGACAGTATGAGCGTGCCGCTAGCATCTATATTCAGGTGCGGTGGTGCATGCAGTCACTCATTAAACGACTCGGCATGCCCTGCAGCCATCAACGTACGAACGGGTAATATAACCGAGGGGATGCAAGGCAATGAGATACCGCCTGGTGAATGGTCTCCCTGCCGAACCCTGATGAGTTTTTTCTCCAACTGTGTGTGCTCATCGCATTTGCAGACCAAAAACTTCGCGGCGGCCGCGCCGCTCATGCAGCGCATCAGCTCCTCGAAGCTGCAGCTGCAGTTTGCCAAGGCGAAAGAGGCGGAAGGCCGATGGGCAGAGGCCGCCACCGCGTACGAGGCTGCGCGCGACATGGACTCGGTGGTGCGGTTGTGCCTGGAGCGCCTTAACCAGCCCCAGCGCGCATACGCCATTGTGCGCAAGACGCAGAGCGTTGAGGCGGCCAGCCAGCTGTCCAGGTTCTGCCTGCAGACACAGGACTTCCAGGTGGGGTGTCGCTACGTTGCACAGCTGGCCCGGTAACCTCACCTCCACTGCCTGCACGAGTTTTCATGGCCGTTGGAGAGCCCCGGCCAACTGCGGTGGAGGACGCTGTCGTGCTCACTAAAATACTAGCTATGCCCATCTAGTTGCGGCTACCAGTTGACAAGCGAGACCCTGATGGTCACGCGTTTAATACGGTTTGGTGGACCGTTTTGCTTGTCATATTATGCAATAATCAAACCTTGGCCCTCATCCGTTTTTGGGGTATCACCAGGGTGCCGTCGAGTTCCTTCTCATGGCAGGCCAGATGGATCAGGCGTTCGACATTGCTATGGGCCACAACGAGATGGACACCTTCGCGCGCATCGTGGCGGCCAGTGCAAAGCCGGTGCGTGGAGGCTCTGTAATTAGAACTTGGGACAACGTGGGTTACACGCTGCATCCGGACGTGACCTGCTTTCCCCTGTATGAGGCTGCCCATGCAGAAAGGCGCTGCTCCGCAGGCCTGCTCTGACCACTTTCTTGCCGCCGCGAAGGTGCCTTTCCGCGGCCGCGACCGTCGCACTACAACAGCCTTGCGTTCCATGCAGCGGCAGCAGCAACAGTGCGTTCGTGAGCTGCTGATTTCGGCCCTGCTGATTCCGCAGGTGGACTACCAGCGCATTGCGCAGTACTACGAGAGCCGTGGCGAGTACGATAAGGCGGCGGATATGTGGAGCAAGTGTGATCAGGCACCGCGCGCCGTGCAGCTCTATCTCAAGGTGCGACCCTTAAGTGGTTAACGTTAGAGAATCGGTAATGGGCTGGGGTACAGGAAGCCGTTTGGATTGTGTGCTGGCAACTAGCCAGTAGTAGCTGTGTGTGCTGACGTGTTGGCTAGTGCAGGTGCCGTCCCCACAGCCCCGACTGCTTTCGGCAGCTGTTTGTTGTTCTAATTGCCCAGGTCTTTGCTACCTGCGCTGCCTTACATATTTGCAGGTTGGAAGCAACCAGGCACTGGAGAAGGCGGTGCAGGTGGTGGAGCAGACGCGCAGCCACCAGCTGGGCGTGCTGGTGCTTGACTATGTCAACGAGGAGAAGGATGGCTCCACACGCGACGAATTCCGCTTCAAGCTCAACATCGCGATGGGCCAGTTCCAGGAGGCCGCACGCGATGCCCTGGAGATGGCCCGGTTTGAGCAGGTGTGAATTGCCTCACGCTAGGGCCAACTATATCAGGCGGGCCATGTCAATTTGGAAGGACCTAGGGACTCTTGGTTCCAAATCAAGCAGGGTGCATATGCGGAATGTTGGCGTCGCCCTGAACAACAGATTACATGCCAAAGATGTGAGACGGCCCGGGCCAGTCAACAAGCCTGAATCGCCTTACGTGGGTGGTGGCCCTCGCTGAAACTCCGGCTGCTCCCATGGCGTCATGCGTGTTATTTGCCCGTAGGAGGAGGGCAACTATCGTGTGGCGCACGACAAGCTCTTCTCCACTGTCAAGCAGCTGGAGGCGCTCAATACAAAGCCACCGACCGACCTCATGCGCGCCCTTATGCTGTTACATTCGTACACACTTGTTAAGTCGCTCATCGCCATCAATGATCACATCACAGCGGCGCGGATGCTCGTGCGCGTGGTACGTTACACTGTCTGTAGTGCATGCGATTTCCACCCCATTCACAACAGCAGCGCCCGTAGTGACTGCTGCTGCATAGCTATAGACGTTCCGCTATCCTTCCTGCTCGTTCGCTTATGGCGACCCCGTGAACGGTGGGAACGCGTGGACTGGGCTGCGGCGGAAGTATGTAGGATGCTCCTTGTGCGGCCTTTCAGCTCATCACTCCAGTGTTCTGCCATGACACGTGCGCTATCTGACAGGCTCGTAACATCTCCAAGTTTCCCAAGCACATTGTGCCCATCCTGACGTCGACTGTCATCGAGTGCCACCGAGCAAACCTGAAGAAGACAGCCTTCGAGTACGCATCCATGCTCATGAGGCCTGAGTATAGGTGCGTACGATGCCAAGACGCCTTCACGCCAGTAGCGAGCTTTTGGGGCCGCTGACTTCAGGATGCACACCTTATTCCTATGCCTGCCTCCCCGCCGAGAAATCAGTTGCTCCATGCCATCAATACGCGCGCACTCATAGGTTCCCCCAGTTTAACGAAGGCACGTGTTGATAGAAGCCTGATGCATACGTGCTTCAGCTTGTGTGCTGTACACATCCTTCAAGTTTAGACCTTTTAACTGGCGCCGTGTGCTCTTTACCGCTAAATTTGCGTCGTCGTGACTATAGGGACATGGTGGCCGTCAAGCACAAGAAGAAGATCGAGCTGATGGTGCGTAAGCCTGAGAAGGACCCCGAGGAGATGGAGGAACCGCTTGCAGACTGTCCCTTCTGCAACATGCCCGGCCCCGAAACGGAGCTGCAGTGCATCAGCTGCCAGAACATCCTTCCGTTCGACCTTGCTACCGGTGCGTGCATGTGGGCATGGAAACGTAGTCCGCGAAATTTCCAAGGTTAATGAACATGAAGGCTGTAAGACCGTGATTGTCAAGCTGCACAGCTGGAAATTAGCGTGTAGTTGCGGCGCGCAGCGCAGATTTATTGGCCAGTGCTGCTGGGCCCCCCATGCAAAACTGACACGACTGCTGCGGCCTATTTACCTCCCTATTCCCCAGGGAAGCGCATGGTGTTGTCTGACTGGGCCGAGTGCCCCAGCTGCAAATTTCCTGCGTCCGCGACTCAGTTCATCCGCATAATTTCGGCAGAGGGCCGCTGCCCCATGTGCAACGACGCTGTGGAACTGTCCCACGTACGCAAGGTGCAGGATCCGCTAGCAAAGCTTAAGCAGCAGCAGTCGCAGCAGCAGCCTGCCGGCGGCAAGGCGCCGTGAGGAGGTAAGGGCCGTGGGAAAGCACGGCTCGAAGCCAGGAAGGGGATGCAGGTGTGTAGCTTTAGTGAGAGGAGCAGCGATAGCTGCATGCGAGGGTGCCCAGTTTGTGCGGGGTACAGTCGGTGACATGCAAGCGGTGGAGCTCAGTGGCCTTGGGAAAGGAATACCAATTGTGTTATTCTATGGGCGATCTGTTCGGGCTAAATGTTTTTATATGTTTACTTGTGAGGACCCTAGGCGTATGTGCGATCAGAGCGTGGCGTACAGCGGGCAGGTCCCGTCAGTGGTGATCTGCGGATGGCTCCTGCACGTGGGTCCAGGCAGTGACCAGTAGCGGCTTGAAGAAGCGGCCCCGTGATCTTTGGAAGGGCGCGAGTGATTATTGTCTTCGTGGGTGCAGTGCATCACTGGTGTACCGGAGGACTGCGTGCGGTACGTTCACCTGTCCTGCAGATGGGCAGAAGAACTGAGATGTGTTTTTTGTTGTCTTGGTAGCAAGTTCTGGACGCTGTAATAGGCTCTAAGGCGGCAAGGCGCACATGAGCGTGTCCCTGTACCCTGGCAGCCCCTCTGTATGGAGGTTGTTTGTAACGTACCACGGACTAGGGGTGTGTTACTGATTTATACATTTTCCGAAGATTTGAGGATCCAACCTCAGGACTGGGTCGGCGTGCAGCAGCCCCTGGCGTCCTAACAGAGAATTGTGAAATAATCCAAATGTCGAAGAGATGTGAATAGGTGTACCCAGACAACGTGCAGGGACAGGGTATGTGGGCGGGGAATGCGTACGGGAAGATAAGGCGTCTTTGCCACAAGCTCTAAGTTACAAGTGCCGCACGAGTGCGGGGGGGTCCGTCAAAGCCGGGAGGCCATGGACTATATATATTGAAAGTTGATTACACCGTACGACCGACGGCGGTTTGGGTCCTGCCAACTAGACCCCTCCTCATCCAGTCACCCAACATCCGTAGAGACAGATCAGCCACCACCACCATCTCAGCTGCGAAACTTAGTCCATCAACTAGACCTCATCTCCACACCTCAGCAGCGTTAGTAAACCTAGACCTCCCGAACAATGTCGGGGGTCTGACCAGGAATCGAATCCGGAACCTTCATATACACAAAGGCGCCACCAGACCAGACCTAAGTCGCCCATAAGGCCCAAAATGACTTAGGAGACTCAAGGGCTAGGATTTAGACTAAAAGCAAGGATGAGCAGCGTTTCAGAGTTATAAAAGTACGGCGTTATGTTATGTTCAAGCTCACGAGAGCTCGTAAGGCCCAGACGACCCAGGAGGCTCATGGACCGCGATTTCTAGCGTAGTCAAAAGGAAGGAAGAAACAGAAAAGGAAAAAGAGCAAAGGGGTTGTAAACCCATATGCGAGAGGAAACAGTGACCTAAGTAAGCGACCTCTGGCTTACTACTCGGCTATCAGCGTGCGTCGCCTCATCCAGATATTGTGTACGATCTGCGCAAGTCCATGACAGACGTCATATTAGGCACGGGCTCGATATCAGCCTGGCGTACACCTGGGTTGAGAAGCCCTTCCCGTTGGTCGTTGTACGCGGGACACTCTAGCAACACGCGAAACTCATCTTCTACTGCATTCATGTTGCCACAGACCCTACACCAGCGCTCTTGGCGCGACCCGACCGCCGGGCCAGCTAACCTCCAATGGCCACGCCCCTAAGCGAAACCGCAGCAGTAACAAGTATGACTTCGCAGGGAAGAAGCACGTCGTGTGTTTCGGCGTTCCCATGCAATGGGTATGCCGCCACATCCTTACCCCTGGTTTACGGTTGTCTGACAAATTCCCGGGGGATGTCGTAATAAGACGTGGGTTCTGCCAGTCATCATCAAATCGCTCCTTCAACTTTTCCATGACAGATATAAGATTGATCGGGTTCACGAGATGAAATTGACCTTCCCCTCTACATCCAGGTCCGAGTGAAGAGTACCAGAGACCCCTTAGGATCATAGCACACCAATGGGTGGCAGTATAATTAGACCTCACTGCAAGACGGATCTCCTCACAAAAAACATTGTAAAACACAGTCCCCTGTGCAAGGATAATCCTGTTCCAGGCCCTAACCCAGAGAGATGCTTCAGAAATGTGCAATGCAGATCAACCATGCGATCTCTAGAGACCTTTCTTAGTAGCAGGACCGTCCATGCGCTGAAGAATAAAGTCCGGTCCCACACCTGGACTCCATACGAAAGAATGGCTCTAATTTGCATTTCAAAAACACTCGAGCGCTATATTAGGCAGGAATAGTTCCTTCCTACGCAACTTCGCTATCAGGGCATGTGGGGCTCACTGCCCCACACTAAATAGCTCATATGCATCGGTGCAGGATTCGAAGATACATTGCCCTGTAATGAGTCCCCAAATACCTGGTCCTGCCAACCCACGGCATCTCTTCAACTGCACAGTGTTTCCCACTGCTCGCTGCATACCAACCTTCACAAAACTCCCAGTTAATGCGCGCAGAGTTTGATTGGGTTGTGTATAGACAATTTTACACTTAATGATATGAATGGTCATGCCAAACTGTAACGAAGCTCGGTCCCTATAAGGTACCGTGTCGTATACTAACTAAGTTGGAGTTAGAAGTCCGCAGATTGGTGGTATTGAAGAATACCTTTTTTTGGCAGAAAGACCAGTATTTTAACTGGGTTGGACGCTAGCACCATAAGGCCCTATCATACAAGAAACACCTTTGGCGTCAGTTAGAGAAGACTCAATTCAGATGAGCAGCCAAGGGGCCTAACAAACGCTGTGCACCAATCCGTAAGGGTCTTACGAAGGCAATTTAGGCGCTGTTGATTGTGGGCAAGCAGATTCTGGTCATCTGCGTACAGCTTTAGGGAAACATGCGCTCCATCAACAATGCAGTACTCATCGGCACACATAGCTATTGGCCTCCACGTGCTGAGGGGACAGCGTTGTTTGAACCCTTGAACAGATTCGACCATAACTATTTTATCCTGGGTCCCTTTCGCTTGTTTTTATTGTCAACTGAGTACGGTTGTACAACACCGTTGGATCGCCCAGCAATCAGCGCAATCAAAACAAGGAAGATGGGTTATGACTTAATTGCAACGTCGTAGATACCTGTATGTTATGAAAGTATATCTGACATGGCAACGACGCGGTTGATGCAGCTGAACTACGGGCTATAACTGCCACTCGATAAGAAACGCCGTTTGATGATGAATAAACAGCAGGTACCGGAAAAACCCTAAGGCAGCCATCATCCTTCCCTCGTTTGTGTGTGAGCAGCGATTTAATGTTACGTGCAACAGGCAAAGCGCCAGGTCGACACACGGAAGCTGCTCAATGTCTTGAGGACCGCAAAGTCGCGTCAGGTGGATTACATGGAAATTCGATACTTACATGCGGGTCTGGGCTATCCTCTTGGGCAGTCAACCGTGGTGCTAGACTTGTTCTTGACTACTTTACGGTGCCATGTTAGCGCTTTATGGGGACGCTTGAATCGATATATAGACCCTGTTTTTGTGTTACAGACTTTCTTGCCTTTAATGGCCACAGGACGAGACAGCCCAACCTCACCGGGGTCGTGGGTTGTGGCTAAGCAGTAAGCAATGGCTTGCGCTAACCAAGCATTTGGAGAGACAGGTGAGGACAATACCAGGTCTCAACATATTATCGTTGGGCTTCTGACTGGCCATGTGTGGCTGGCTTCTTCATCAAGCTCACCACCTTGCGCCGGCGGCAGGGATTAAAGCTTTCTGTGTTGCATAGTCTGCATAGTAGACTCCAATACTACAAAACATTGGGTCAGGAAAGGGTATCTGTTGGGCACACGTAAGCTGTCGACCTGCAGTTTGCACTAGAACTGCGTAGCAACTCCATGCCTCCAAGTTCGCGCTGTTTTTGTCCGTAATATGTTTTTGAGCAGGTGTCGGAAGTGGAAGTTTTGCAGCAAGTTGTCATCGAGAAAGAGCAGGTGGGCTATTGGCGGGCGAGCTTGCATGCAGCATTTCCGGTTTTCGCGCCAGCATGGGCCAAGGTTTGCACCTTATCTTCTGTGTGACACAGGAAGCTGAGAATCTGCGGCATCAGTTGGAATCGGAGCGTTCGGAACGAGCGCGACTTGTAGACGAGCTCCATGCACAGGCGGCGCAGTTGCGAGAGCAGGCAGAGTTCCCGCTTCAAGAGCTGGGAGCCCTGCGAGTACAGATGCGCTCCAAACAGGAGGCATGGGACAAGCAAAAGTACGAACTGGAGGCGCAGGTGTGGCTCACCCCGCTTGTGAACCATATGGGTTGAATGGCGCAGGCGTACCCGCATGCCCCTTACTATCTCCCGCCTGGGCCCCCTCCTCTGTCGGTTAATCCCACCCAGATGGACCGCCTGATGGGGGTGCTGAGGAAAATGGGCTTGCTGTCGGACTCAGAAGGGCAACGGCTGGCTTCTGCACCCTCGCCGCCAGGCACGCAAGACCCCCTGGCGGTGAGCGTGCGTGTCGATCTGGGTCCGTGGGTAACCTGTATGAAGGCTTAAAACGCCCTGAAGGACTTCCCTTGTGCTCACCTCACCTTCATCTCCTGCCCCGCCCCAGAGCACCTAGGTCAACTGCATGGTGACACGTGACTAGTGCAACAAACCTCGTCCTCCGCCGTGCAGGTTGGCGCGGGTCTGATGGCGCCTGAGGTGCAGGCCCTCCAGATTCGCGAGCTCAACATGCTGCTGGCGGATGCACGGCACCAGGCCGAAACCTACCGGCGGCAGCTGGCCATGCGCAGTATACCCGCGGAAGAGATGGCGATTGACATGAAGCGGCTAAGGGTGCGACATTGCCGTAGCTCGGCATGCCCCGTGCGGAGGGAAAGCAAAGGACTAGGTGCACGTCATGGTTGGCTGGTGTATGATTTTTCCTTGGATGTTGTCTAATTTGGCATCGGCACCACAGGACACCGGGGGCAGGAAATTCCTCGCTCTTACGGCTTTCCGCCGTGCTCGCAGGCCGATAATCAGCGTCTGGTAGCGCTGCTGGCCCAGGTCCCCGAGTATCGTACGATGGCAGCGGAGGTGGCGGAGGAGAGCGGCGTGCACTACATACCAGTGGAGGAGTGTCTCATGATCCGCGGCCAGGTGGACCAGCTGTACCCGCAGCTTTTGGACAGGTGGGATTGCCTCTGGAATAAGGACGGGGAACAAACACCGGGAGGTGCGGTGTAGGGCTTTAAGACAGATGCAAGCAATGGCGCTGGGCAAGGTGGCGGTTGCGCTGGATAGAGGCCGTTGTGGTCGTAGCCTAGGCGTGGTGCATGACATGGCCCTGTGCAGCCTTCTCCGCGTGTGGGTGCATCTAATTGAATCCCGCACAATAATTAGAGTCCTGCTAGGAATCCACCCCACTGACCTAACCAGCGAATTAATTATGCTGCTAGGACCGAGTCAGATGGGGTGGGGCACCAAACTGTATTCGCCCCGTGTGATGGCGCCCTGCAGGCCTGTGGAGCTGGTGGCGGGCCAGGACCTGGCGGGCCCGGGGAAGAAGCGTGACCCCGACGTCTTCGACCCCTACCTCACGCTGGTGCTGGACGAACAATATCACTGGGTGCCCCGGAAGGCTTTG